AGTTTCGTTCTGCTTTCATTACGCTTGCCATTTGATGGTGCGCAACATTGTGTTGGCCGCGTCAGCACGAATTTTGCCGGCAGGAAAAATTATCCAAGCAACCGTTCGGTTTGTATGCGTACCGAACCGGAAGCCTCGAACCGAAACGGTTCAATACGAATACATGTACCGTTACACCCCTAATATATATATCGGCCGATATATCGGAATATCGGATTTTAAAACCAACAAATATTTGTATCGGTATCGGCCTTCAAAATCCTTTATCGGTCGGGCTATTCACCCTATTTTAACTATTTAAGCACATGGTCTAAAGCGCACGGCGCAAATACACTTTGTGCCGTGAATAGTGTGCACTTGTCCAAATCAACTTTTGCTAGTTTAAAACAGGGAAAAAATGGTTGGCGCACACGGCGCATGGTCTAAAAGGGTTGTCCCTTTTCTCTTAATGAGTATTGGGGGTGTTTTGGGGGTATTGGGGGTGTCTCGTTCCCTTTAAAAGCCAGTTGCACTCGCGCCATGGCGGATTCGCTATTTACATCGCTGAATTTGCGAGCGAAAAGACTGAACGGTTCTCTAGCAGGGAAATGGATCTGCTCGTTAAAGCGTGCAAGCAGCCCATCTACAGGATAAGCCGGATTCCACCATATCTTTATGTACACAATAATAATATTTTATATTGTAATCCTTTTATTTTTTTAATAATTGCAATGTTGGTGTGCTGCTGTGCGAGCGTCTCTGTGAGTGTACGCACGTTGTGCACCCGCCTATAGGTGCATATTACTAATGCATCCTTTAAATAACAAATACTGAAATACTGATAAATAAATAAATGTCATTGATTTTAGACCAGGTATTTGTTGGTCAATGGCGTTGTCTATTTCAGTTGTCATAGCAATGCACCAATGCGTCTGAACACCTTGTTTTCAGACCAGCACGCCCATGGGTGAACAGATGGGTGTAAATGCATTTGCTATTTAAACAACATGGTGCAGGACATGAAAATGATAACTGCGCCGGGCTCAAACTAGCAAAAAACACTTGTGTTGAACCGGGTGTAAGATAGGGCTCTTCATCTCACAATTCAGAGAAAATAAGTCAGTTAAACTCCCAATTGTGAGAAATAAAGTCAATAAAGTCAGTTATAAGACATAAACTCACAATTCTGACTTTTTTTAAACACAGTTCACAATTTTGAGAAAAAAAACATCAGAATTGTTAGTTCAACTCATAATTGTAAGAAAGAAATTCAGAATTGTAAGATAAAAAGTCACAAGAACCTTTTTAATTCAGAGACATAAAGTCAAGAATTGCAAAGTATAAACTCACTATTCTGACTTTTTCACAATTTGGGTTTATGGAGAGTAGTTTTAGAGAAATTAGGTCAGTTAAACTCCCAATTGCGAGAAATAAAGTCAGAGTTGCAAGACAAACTCACAATTCTGACTTCATTTCTCACAACTGGGAGTTTTACTGACTTTACTGAGTTTTACAGTTTCTGCTTCTTGGAAATCCTGGTAATCTCACATGTGTCTCCTCTAGGGACCTCAACAAAATCTCTTTTTTAGATTTTCTAAAATATAAGAGTTCTTCCAAGACCAAATGATGTGAGATATGCAATTACTTTATAATCTTATTGTGTGTTAACAATTGGCTCTATTTTTATTTCCAAGGATTTATAGCAGAAACATTTGAGACAAAAATTGTACTACGTCCAGGATTAGAGTTGTTATATATTTATATATTAGTATATTAAATTAAATATATTACCTTGAATTGTACATAAGTCTTAAAGACATTAAATGCATATAATGTTCATATAGAAAATATGAGGGTACAACCAGACTTGGTGATTCTCTTTACCACAAATGTGCATACTCTACATGACAACCACACGCACACTTCCCACACTACACACTTCCAGCAGAACACACACGAAGATATTCACACACACAATAATCTCTCACTGTGATAAGCGTGAGGAGGGGAGCGGAAGAAAAAAGGGAAAAAGAAAGATGGAGAGCTAAATTTAGGCAAGATGATAGGGAAGGATAATAAGTTGAGAGCACACATCGAATTGTGGTGGTGGTGGTGATGGGGAGGGGGTGGGTCTGGTAACCAACGGAGACGGGAGATTGTCAATATGATGCGATAAAAAAAAGCCTGATTTACTCTCTTAATGTCTTGCGCTCACAAAGGATCTTAATACAATCCTGAACAATAGAGTATAATAAAATAGTGTAAAAAAATATATGAAAATAGCATAAATCTCATCACATTAATGCGATATGTCAACAGAAAAAAAGTCCATAGTTTGACATGGAATCTTGTTTTTTGTACATATAGCACAATATTAATTTATTAAAATACTATAATAATTAAGTACCATGGTATACACGCAGTGGTTTCCAAAAGCCTGAGACGACATTGAAAACTGGGATTCCAAATATAATTTAAACCTGTAAATAAACATTTTAGAATTTTTTATCATAAAAAAAAATAATTTTATGACTTGAAATGAGAAATGAGTACAAATATTTATGAATCTGCAATATTTTAGATCACTATGTATATATGTATATACCTGTATACAGTATATATATATATATATATATATATATATATATATATATATATATATTTCATAAATGTGACCCTGGACCATAAAAGCAGTCTTAAGTGTCCATTTTGTAAAATTGAAATTTTTCACGTTGCCTGAAAGCCGAATAAATACACTTTCCATTGACGTATGGTTTGTTAGGATATAATTATATTTGGCTGAGATACAACTATATGAATCAGGAATCTGAGGGTGCAAAAAAACCCCTCAAAATATTGAGAAATTCGCCTTTAAAAGGTTTCATTTCTGTTGGCGATTGAGCTGAATCCACTTACAAAAATAAAATTTTCATATATTTAATGTAGCAAATTTACTAAATATCTTCATGGATCATGATCTTTACTTAATATCATAATGATTTTTGCCATAAAAGAAAAATCAATAATTTTGGCCATACTCATACAGTGTTTTGTTGGCTATTGCCACATATTATATTTGTGACCCTGTGCAACTTAAGACTGGATTTGTGGTCCAGGGTCACAAATATAATATATAAAATTGTATTTTAACAAAATTCACTAAAAAAGATTGATGGTAGAATATAAATTGTAACAAAAATATTGTATTACATCATCAGAGGCATTTTCACTAGTGGTCTCAGACTCACTGTAGCAAAGTACCAAGTATTACCATTTGATACATCACTGTACCATAAACTTTTTTTTTAAGAAACAAACTAAATTTATAATTTAAAACTGTTTAAATCTGAAACTGTTTCTGTATTTGGGTTGTGACAGTAAAAGCTGTTTAACAGACAGTAATGTCTGAGTAGTGTATGTATGAAGGCTTGTGTGTGAGATGTTTGTAGGACTTTGTAGGTTGCTATCGCAGGAGCAGGCTGGCATGGCTGAATATGAAAGTTCATGATAGCACATTCCCCTCACATTTCACAGGTTCGTAATCATCTCTTACTTCATTCCTCTCGCTTCCAATCTCTCACCCTTGCTGAATTTCTCTCTCTCTCTCTCTCTCTCAGAGTTTGACCGCTTAGGCTGTCACTATCAGCCTCTGAACCCCACTGTGAGCGTATGTGTGTGTGCGAAATATTAACCGAAGGTCATCTTCTTCTGGCAGTCATCTCACTTGATACCATCATGTGTGAATGAACAAAATGTGCCTGTTCTGAGCAGTTTCTTTTCACTTATACTTGAGGCTGAATCTGAATTTTCACATATTCATGCTTACATATTATTAATACACACAATACAAAGATATATTTTAGTATAAAGCACCTATGAATATGTATTTCATAATTTTGCATCAAGAAATATTGACATTGGTGAAGTACTTAATAAATTCCTGCTGTGTGTTAGCACCTGTGGCTCTGCATACTAATATTAGGAAAGATCAATTTAGATCAAGTTTAATTTAGATCATTTCAGTCTGAGTTTGTGTTAAGTGGCACTCTTTCTAAAAGGCTATTAAAGTATAGGGGCCGAAGTAAACTACTGTATATTTCAGCACCAATTTTCTTTTCACAGGCAAAGACCGTTTTTAAATTAAAGTCTTAAAGACAAAGGAGCGAAAAAGTCCACAACAGTTCAAAAAACATTTTTCCTTTGTGGTCTATTTAATAAAAATGTTAGTCATGATCACAGAAAACTGTCTATTAATTGTAAAGATCATAGGGGAAATTGTCACAATAAACTAAATTCTGACTATTATACAGTATAAGCAAAGAATGTGACTTATTAGTAGGCCATTAAAAACTAAAATTAAATGTACAATATGACCCTTTCAAAATGCTTTAGGGTGTGACAAAAAGCTAAACATAGGCTACACATGTAATGTTATGTTATAGTAGTTATATAGAATTAGACAAAACCATTCATGCAAATGGAAATGAAGAGTTCAGATGCAAAAGCCTCTAAATGCCATTTGAAATTTTCATCTTTAATGATGATTTTTATCAAACTTGTATATTTAAGTACAGTAATTTTACTTAAATGGCAATGATAATTACCTATTAATTGTTATTTAAGTGAAATTAATGAAATAAAATATACAAGTTTGATAAAAATCATCATTAAAGAAGAAAATTTCAAATGGCATTTAGAGGCTGTTGCATCTGAACTCTACAATTTTTTTTTTTTTTAACAGGTTGACTTGAATGGAAGTGTGAAAGTCTGATATGTTTGCTGTTCTCTTGCACATGCACACAGTATTCAAAATAGAAGTGAGCTTGAACTTTAAAGTGACTCACATACAAGCTCAAATAAAAGCATTGAAGTCAGCATGTATTACAAGTATAGCAAAAACATGGGAAGAAAGAAGAGAGGGAAGAAACCAGTGATTTACGGGCAGAATCAGAAAGTTAACAGTGTTAGATTAGGGTTCAGTTAGGTTAAACTACACACAATCATTAAAAGAGTGAACATACCTGCTGCTGTTCTTTGATAATGTCTCTCTCGATTTGTGTCGTCTCTGCCGTTTCTTTCTCCCCTAATTAGGCTATCTTTCGCTTCTCTCCCGTTTCTTTTAGCTTTCTGTCGGTTTCTCAACTCATGCTGTCGCGCGTGTGTGTGAGAGAGAGAACTGGAAGCAGGTGAGCAGATGATGAGCTATGTTCATTTCTGCCGTGGCGACTCCCTCACTCAATACAGTGTGCTTAACGTCTCCTCCTCCTCCCCTCCCTGAGAATGAAAGGGGAATGATGCCCTCTTCTGTTTCCAAATAACTCTCCTTTTGTCTCTCGTTTCCCCTTCAACATCGTACAGTCAAACGGGGAAGAAACAAACAAACAAAAAAAAAAAAAAAAAAAAACAGTATCCACTATAATCCAGAACTATTTGACTAATGGCGCCCTAAAGAGGGAAAATGTTGATTCCAAAGCTCAATGTTATCCAGCTTCTGTATCAGCTTCAGTGCTCGAATTGAGGGGGGGGCTGGGGGGATCCGGGACCCCCCATAAGGTATTAGGGACCTCCCATAAGAAGTAAAAAATAGAATTAGGGGGGTCCGTCAGATATTTTTATTTTAGTAAAAAATAATAATAACAAATCTGATTAAATGCATGCAATGGATACAGTAAATTTCGCGAATTTATTATTTACAATATATTTTTGTTCGCTTTAAATTGTAAACGCCCGCCCCACATCTAAAGAGTGCTGTGCGCAATGATATCGTTGACTGACAGGACTGTTTGATTGGCGCCGCTCTGTTGAAGCTAATTTTAACTTTTAAAAAATGAAAAAGATAAACCTCCACTCGAGGTCGGGAAGAGAAAGCTTCTTACCGACTTTTTTGAGGGGTAATTGTCTCTCTTTATATATCTTTCTACTTTATATCTACCCACACCATATCGGGGCTTCTGTATTCCTTGCGTAAATTGGAAACATTTAGGCTTAAGTTACTTTTTTTCCACCATTATTAATAGTCCTGGTTCTACGGGAGTGCTAGAGATCTCGACGGAGATGGATAACAGTTTTTCAGCAAAGGGAACGATCGTTGTGTGCTTTCTAATTTCCATTCAGAATTTGTATAAAACTTGTTTTTCATGCTGCCAGGATCGGCCACGTAAACACAAAGTTTTGGGTTTCAAAGTTCACTTTCAAAGTTCACTCTTAAATAGCAATAATTGACATCGATTGGCATGGCATTGTTTGTTTCTGAATAAAGCTGCCTTTTTCGCTAGTCATGGTCCGTTGAATAGTTGCTGACCTACTGAGTGCTTTTCCGCCACCTACTGGACGTAACTATGTAAAAATCGCATGTGCTGAAATAGTTGAAAAATCCCCACCATATAATATCTAATAAACAAGTTTCATCTATTTAATCAAGTCTTTTGAAACCAACATTATTACCACAGTGTCACATAATCCACATTAATCATGCAGTTGTTTTTAGGTTAAACAAACAACATTTGTAAATAAAATCATTTTGTTGATGTACACAACTGTTCAAAAGTCTCTTCTGCTCACCAAGCCTGCATTGATTTGATGCAAAATACAGTAAAAACAGTAATTTTATGAAATATTATTACAGTTTAAAATAATAATATAATAAAATATTGTTTATTTCTGTGATCAAAGCTGAAAACTATCGTTTCTCCAGTGTTCATCATGATCCTTTAGATCTGAAATATAAAACTTGTTGTAGCATTATACACTACCATTTAAAAGCTTGCGGTCAGTAAGAATGTATTTTTTTTTAAAAATGTTGGGAAATAAATTAATACTTTTATTCAGTATGGTCGCATTAAATTGATCAAAAGTGACAGTAAAGAAGTTTATAATGTAACAAAAGATTCTATTTCAAATAGAAACTGTTGTTTTGAACTTTCTATTGCTAAAAAATCCTGAAAAATAAAATAAATGTTTATTACATAAATGTTTGTTGATCATCAGACGGATCATGTGACACTGAAAATGCTGAAAATTTGTGAAAATTCTGCTGCCCTCTAAATCCAAACCTTTAGTAAGTAATTTAAAATAATAATTATATATATAGCCTAATATAATTATTTTTCAAGCGGTTTTAATAAAATAGTATACATTTATGCATATTTATAAATATATGCTATTTATATATCCCAAACACAACCCCCCCCCCCCCC